CACCATCGTCACCATCACTACAGTCTTCACCATCATCACCATCACTACAGTCTTCACCATCGTCACCATCACTACAGTCTTCACCATCATCACCATCACTACAGTCTTTACCATCACCATCACTATAGTCCTCACCACCATCAGCATCACTACACTCTTCACCATCGTCACCATCGCTACAGTTCACCATCATCATCACCATCATCCTTGGTTGACACATGGCACTGACCACTAGCCCTCTCCATGTATCCATTTATCTAATCCTCACACCTGTTAGGTAGGAACCATTAGCCCCAATTCACAAGTGATGAAACCAGAGCACAGAGAGGTTAAAACCACGTAGGCAGAAGATACCACCACCAGAGTGTGAACCCTGGCAGTCTGGTTCCAAAATTAGTCCTGTCCCTGAGCCCCTGACTCTAGGTGAACCAACATTCAGGCACGGCAGGCTTGTGGGTGCACAGTCAGCAGGGGTGGCCTTGCTTCCTTCCTCCTGACTCCTTCTGCTTTGGCCTGTGTCCTGCACAGTGAAGGCTCCCCAGGCCCTGTGGGGGCAGGAGGCGGCAAGTGGGTGTTAAAATGGGAAGGTCGGCCGGGCGCAGTGGCTCACGCCTGTAATCCCAGCACTTTGAGAAGCCGAGGCGGGTGGATGATGAGGTCAGGAGATCGAGACCATCCTGGCTAACACGGTGAAACCCCATCTCTACTAAAAAATACAAAAAAAAAAAACTAGCCAGTCACGGTGGCGGGCACCTGTAGTCCCAGCTACTCGGGAGGCTGAGGCAGGAGAATGGCGTAAACCCAGGAGGCGGAGCTTGCAGTGAGCTGAGATCCGGCCACTGCACTCCAGCCTGGGCGACAGAGCGAGACTCCATCTCAAAAAAAAAAAAAAAAATGGGAAGATCTCAGGCCAGGGGCAGTAGCTCACACCTGTAATCCTAGCACTTTGGGAGGCCAAGGAGGGCATGAGCTCAGGAGTTTGAGACTAGCCTGGACAACACGGTGAAACCCCATCTCCACTTAAAATACAAAACGAGCCGGGTGTGGGGTGGGCGCCTGTAATCCCAGCTACTCGGGAGGCTGAGGCAGGAGAATCACTTGAACCCAGAGGCAGAGGTTGCAGCGAGCCGAGATTGCGCCACGGCACTCCAGTTTGGGATCAAAGAGTAAAACGGTCTCAAAAAAACAAAACAAAAAAAAAATGGGGAGGTCTGGCTCACGTCATTCACCCGCAGCTGGAGCGCCCCGAGGAGCCGACTCAACATTTGCGTTTCTGATGATGAAGCCACGGAAGTTCAGCTCCTGGGGAACACGGCCAGTTCTTTCCTGCTTTTAATGCTGGAGGAAACCTCGCCAGGGAGGCCGTGGGCGAGGGGCCGCAGACAGGCCGAGAGTCTGCAGGAATCTGCAAGTCGACAGGAGAGAGGGGATGAGAAACGCTGCCGTCACCTCCTGCCTGGGCCGTGCAGGGCCGCCCGGCCGCCGTCATGCAGATGGGGTGTGTAAAACCGCGTCTGCTGGTCGTCAGGGAGCGGAGGCTCGTTAAGAACGTCTGTTAAAAGCCAGGAGCCTCCATCGTCACTCAGCTGAAGATGTGTCAGTGGAGAACGGAACCAAATGTGCTTTTTCTAGGGGAGGAAACGGGCTTTTCACACACCATCTTTCGCCAGGAGCAGGGAGGTGTGGGCCTGGCGGGCGACGGTGGGCAGCAAGGGGACGGCCAACAGTGAAGCCAAAGCGTTGCGTCTTGCCAGCGCCTCCTCCTCGCCTCCTGGTCAGATCCTCACCCTCCCCCACCACAGTACACCTGCAGCCACGCCCGCCCCTCCTGGCCTTGGCCGGAGCGTCCTCCAAGGCGCGAGGCAGTAGACAGAGCCCCAGTGCCAGCCACCCTCCCCGCCTCGTTCCATCTTGCCAAGTGACTCTGAGTCTTCAGCAGCAGAACCGGGTCCTCCATCCCCGGGCTCCCTGAGCTGTAACGCAGCCGCCTGAGGCTGGGGATGGCCCCGAATAGCCTCAAGGGATCTAAGGAATGGCCCGGAGGAGCCCCCAGTCACCAAGAAGCAGCCTTCAGAAAAGCCAGAGCAGGTTCCAGGCAAAGGAGACCTGAATGTGCATTCCCGTGAGATCGCCTGGAGGGGTAAGCCCTGCTGTAGGGGACGAGGCCGGCTGGGGGCAGGGGGTGCCTGATGGGGGCTGAGGCCTGTGCAGAGAGGCCAAGAGGACGCCTGGACCCTCGGCTGAGTCCAGCCACCAGAGACCCAGAGCCCCCCATGGAAAGCAGAGCCTCTGCCCCTGTGGACAGCAGGTCATCCCAGGCCGGGGGAGGGGGCTGCCCAGGTGTTCCCACCCCTACCCCCACCCACAACAAATGGGGCACAGCAGGAGTGGAGGGGGCGGCCTTCTGCACCCCTCCTGGTGCTCAGCTCTGTCCTGGGACCCCCGCACCCCCCAAAAGGCACCAGGCCTCCCCGGCCCCGTTCCTTGTTGGCTTCCAGGCCTGACCCTACGTGACCTCTTCTCTGGGTTCCCCTCACTTCCTCCCAGTGCCAGGGGAGGGACATGGGTGCCTACAGGGAAGGCGACGGGTCCCTTCTAGCCTCAATAAATGCATGGCAAGCCCTGCTTGAGGGACCTTCTAGGAAATCCTGACCTCCCTCCTCAAAACTGCCCAGACCACCGGAACTAAGGGAAGTCCGAGCAATGGCCACAGCCCAGTGGGAGCTCAGGCAGCTGGACGGGAACCGTCCCGGGATGGGGAAAGGCCCCTCAGTGAAGGCCAAGGACTCCGGTGAACCGTGTCCATTCTGGTTCGTGCCGGTGTGGGGCGTTACCTCCATGGGACCCTGCAGGGAGGGAGGGTACAGACGGGGGCTCGGCACTGTCTCCTCGGTATTTCTGAAAACCCACAGCTGCCCAAAAGAAAACCTGTTATTTGCTTGAAGTACTAAGATTCCTGTCATCCCAGCACTTTGGGAGGCCAAGGCAGGAGGATCATTTGAGACCAGAAGTTTGAGACAACCCTAGGCAACACAATGAGACCTCGTCTCTATCAAAAAAAATTAAAAACTTTTAAACATTAGCCAGGCATGGTGGTACCCACCTGTGGTCTCAGGAGACTGGGGCAGGAGGATCACTAGAGCCCAGGAGAGGTCAAGGCTGAAGTGAGCTAGGATCGCACCAATGCACTCCAGCCTGGGTGACTAAGGGAGGCCCTGTCTCAAAATAATACATTTTTTGGCTGGGCGCAGTGGCTCACACCTGTAATCCCAGCACTTTGGGAGGCCGAGGCAGACGGATCACTTGAGGTCAGAAGTCCGAGACCAGCCTGGCCAACATGGAGAAACCCCATCTCTACTAAAAATACAAAAATTAGCTGGGCGTGCTGGTGGGCACCTGTCATCCCAGCTACTCGGGAGGCTGAGGCAGAAGAATTGCTTGAACCCAGGAGGCAGAGGTTGCAGTGAGCCAAGATCGTACCACTGCATTCCAGCCTAGGTGACAGAGCAAGACTCTGTCTCAAAAAAAAAACTTTTTAGGGTCGCAGGAGTCACCCATAATGACATCAGCCCGGCATTTCCACAGACGCCAAAAGGGAAGAGACGGGCCTGGCTGAGCCCCGGCGGCCCACGTGCCACACTCCGAGTTTCTGCACAGCCTGGCTGCGCGCGCAGGCCCCCATCTCAGCCCCACGTCTCCTCAGCTGCTTCTGGGGTTTCTGTGAATAATTCTCCAACAATCCAGACCTCAGTGACTCTGGACGAAGAAGTCTCGCCTCCCAGAGTGACTGTGCTTATAAATAGAATTTTCTCAAGCTGGTTTCTACTCTGAAAACCGTAATAACGTATGTCTGATCCTCGTTTTCAACAAAAACATTTAAAAGCAGCAAAGCAGGGCCAGGCACAGCGCTTCACACCTGTAATCCCAGCACTTCGGGAGGCCGAGGCGGGTGGATCACTTGAGGTCAGGAGTTCAAGACCAGCCTGGCCAACATGGTGAAAACCCATCTCTAATAAAGATACAAAAAATTAGCCAGGCGTGGTGGCGGGCGTCTGTCATCCCAGCTACTCGGGAGGCTGAGGCAGGAGAATCGCTTGAACCCCAGGAGGTGGAGGTTGCAGTGCGCCGAGATCGTACCACTGCACTCCAGCCTGGGCGACAGAGCGAGACTCCGTCTCTGAATGAATGAATGCAGCAAAGCAATGTTGGTAAAGACCCCACAACAGACATCTGACGGCTGTGTCCAGACCACGCTTCTCAAAGGGGATTCAGAAACCTTCCGTGGTCCCTGAGGTCAAACCTGTTCTCATGACACTTCTGAGAGTGGTTTCCTTCCCATTCTTTTGAGACTGTCTCTCGCTCTGTCGCCCAGGCTGGAATGCAATGGCACAGTCTTGGCTCAATGCAAACTCCACCTCCCGGACTCAAGCGATTCTCGTGCCTCAGCCTCCAGAGTAGCTGGGATTACAGGCGCCCGCCACCACGCCTAATTTTTTGCATTTTAGTAGAGACGGGGTTTCACCATGTTGCCCAGCCTGGTCTCGAACTCCTGACCTGAGGTGATCCGCCCGCCTCGGCCTCCCAAAGTGCTGGGATTACAGGCGTGAGCCACCGTGCCCGGCCTCCTTCCCATTCTCCTGAAAGCGTGGGGCGGAATGTTCTGGAGGCCACAGGCCTGCAGGCAGATGCAGACATAAGAATCCAGCACAAACAGCCACCCCTCCTTTCTCTTCCCACTACATTTTTTTTTACGGGGAAACAGTTGTTTTTCATTAAAATGTTATGTTCACATGCAATGGATTTATTGCTATTTTTACGTGAAAAAGTGAACATTTTTAAATGCTCTATTTCTAGTAGGGTGAATGTCCACAGCGGCCGCGCATGTAAACAAAAGCTCAAAAGGTTTCAGGATTGCGAAGGGTCCTGAGACCAGAGTTCGGGAGCCGGGCTGGGCCAGCTTTGGGTGAGGATCCTTCCGGAACCCGGGATCACAGGGACGATCACACGGACCTGTGGCTCCACCCAGTGGTGATGGCGAGGACAGCAGGAGACCCCAGCGGGCAGGAGCACGGCCTGAACCGCCTGGCCCCGGGGATCTGCCCAGGGCAGGCAGAGGTGTCCTGGGCCCTGGGGCACTGGGGACTCAGGGCTGGCCGTCCTCCACAGCGGGACTGTCCTGCGGGTTGCAGGGGCCGGGACAGCCTCCCTGGGCTCCACCAGCCAGATGCCTGCGGCAACACCAGCCAAGACCACAGACGTCTCCACTCGCTGGCCAGCGTCCCCTGGGGACAGAACTGCCCCCCGTGAGAGCTGTCCAGTCCACAATACAGACAGAACGGTGCGAGGGAGGCATCAGCAGGGAGCAAAACATTCGCACATGATGGCCGAGAGCTCCAGGCACTTACCCCACCTCCACTCTGTCACATGGGGGCTCCAAGGCGGCCCCTCCCCACCATGGGGGCCCGGGGTGGACCCAGGGAGTTCGGGGCACCGGAGGGGGAGGCTGTATCCGCCCAGTGTCCTTCCCGGTCCCGCAGCAATGGCAGAGGGGACGTCTGTGTGGTCGCCGCCCGCGGCAGCAGCTGCAAAGTCAGCAGCGCTGGAGGGGTTCAGGCCTGGGCGCTCCCTGGGGGTCTTGGCCTCTCCTCACCTCCTGCCAGCCTCATAGACCCCGGGGGCTCCCACGCGGTCCTTGAGGTCCCCAGCCACGGCTGCACCAAGGAGCACTGCCTGAGCTCTCAGCCCCACTCCTCCCAGCTGCCCTCTGTGGTGCCCAACCCTGCCCACCCACAGCACCCTGGGGGTCCTCTGTGCTCGCCTCACAGACGGGCAGGCAGCACTGGACCCCCAGCTCCAAGAAGCTGAGCCCTGCTGCCGTGGCTTCCCGCTTAGCTGCTCCTCCAGCACGTGGGACCCGCGCTGCCTGCCTGCTGCTCCTCCGCACCCACCTGTAGAGGGTGGGAGGGAACCTTCCACAGCTCGCCTGAGCGCTGGGCAGGGGCGGAGCCTCTGTCCTCTGCCTGCCTCTGCCAGCTGGTCCCCAGATTCAGGCTCAGCAGGCCCCCAGGTGCCCGTCACACAGAGGCTGCCCGCTCCCTTGGGGAGGTTGTTTGCAAGCTGCTCAAGCAAAGGCCTCCTTCCCTGCAAACTTGTGGTAACACCGCACCTCATCAGGGTCTGGAGCCCCAGCCACTGGCGAGGTCACTGTCGGAACTCTTTGACCGAGTGCCTCTGGAAGACGAGCTTTGCCGATTTCCACCTGTGGGTCCAGCCTGTCATTCCCACGCCCACCAGTGCCGGATGTCCAGCCCCAAGACAGACCTGCAAATTCACGTGAAAAACAATCGTGTCGCCAGCACTGCCATTAGGCTTCTAGAACGGTCTCTTTAGAGGGAAGAAAAGTATCCACTGCTTTGAAAAGAGGCCGCAGGAGATGGGGAGACCTGAGTGGGAACCTCACCCTGGCTCTGTCTCCTAACAACAGGGTCCACAGCCCTCTTCACTCACAGACACTTCTGCTGGAACGGGCCAGACCCCCAGAAGTCATTTGCCAAACTTCAACTGGAGCACAGAGAATTTACTAGACCAAGGGATTCCACTTTGGGGAAGTTAGCTGAAAGAAATAATCTGAAAGTCTCTCTCCTCATTCTCTCTCTACATATATATATGTATACATATGATGTATATATACACACATATATATGTATATACGTATGAGCATATATACACATACATATGTATACATAAATACATACACATATACACACATACACAAGTATATAAAGTTATACGTACGGAAAGGTTCATTGTGGTATTTTTTGGTAGACTGGTTTTTAGTAGGATGAAAAATGACATGGTTTTATTCTATATCTTATGAAGCCAAATGTTTACGCACAGAAAAGCAAACAAATCAACCTGGACGAGCCCCTACCTGACCCAGTGAGCGACTGTTTCTCCCTGTGTGGGGGAATCTCCCTAGTTCTGTCAAGGCTCACTCCCTCACTCCAGAGCAGGGGCTCATCTGTCATTCAATTCACCGGTGAGGTTTTACTTATACAGTTATGTTATGTTACGTTATGTTATGTTATGTTATTTATTTGATTTTTTGTTTTTGAGACGGAGTCTCGCTCTGCCGCCCAGGCTGGAGTGCAGTGGCGTGATCTCGGCTCACTGCAAGCTCCGCCTCACAGGTTCATGCCATTCTCCTGCCTCAGCCTCCCGAGTAGCTGGGACTACAGGCGTGCACCACCACGCCCGGCTAATTTTGTATTTTTAGTAGAGACGGGGTTTGTCAGGCTGGTCTCAAACTCCCAACCTCAGGTGATCTGCCCACCTCGGCCTCCCAGAGTGCTGGGATTACAGGTGTGAGCCACCGCGCCCGGCCACAATTATGTTTTTCATGTGAAGGTGGCTCCTTGTTCTTTTTGCATGTCTGCCTATTCTTGTTTCTCTGTTGCTCTTCCCTCATTTATCTCCTTGGGAACTGTAAACATAGCTCTTTCAAGGCCCCCTTCATGTTATTCTTGGCTGCAAATCCCCAATATGCTGCTCTCTGGGCTGAACACATGTGTGCGGCCTGCACGTCCTCCAATGTTGGAATCTATTTGGTTGTTCTTTCCTGCACCTGCCCTGGTGGAGTAGGCATCCGTGGTTCCAGGCAGAGGATTTTGAGGATTGTCTCTGACCAACCCCACGATGTGCTCCAGCCCTGAACTGGGTCTTCACAAGAGTGTCTCAAGTCTGAGTTGTTTACACCCCACGCCTGGGAGTAGCAAGACCGTGGTCTCTTCTCAGACTACCAGCCTGGCCGCCTGCTCCTGAGGTGCGGGGTGCCTCCACCCCCAGCCCTGCCCGCTCATTCCATTCTCCTTGTCCTGCTCTTGTGGGTGCAGAGGCTCTCCGTGGTCCTCCACCTCCCCATCTGGGGAGTGGGACTCAGCCCACACCATTGCAGGCATCTCTAGGGGCAACTGAAGACCATGGTGAGAATTCTCACCACAGAGCTTGAGCCCCCACCAGCCACTGAGTCTCGCCAGTGCCAGCCTCTCTCAGCCTCTCGCATAGGACTAGGCAGGTATCAGACCCCAGCGTTCTGAGGCTATGTCCCACCCTCAGTCACGGGAGTACTTGGTACTTTCTATTTTCACCTTTAAGCCTTAGATACGATTTCCAGGCAACAGAAAAAAATCCCATCCAGAACCATGTAACCTCCAACTTTTTTTTAACTTTTTAATTCTTTTTTTTTTTTGAGACCAGGTTATGAGACTGGCTAATTTTTGTATTTTTGGTAGAGACAGTTTCGTCATGTTGCCCAGGCTGGTCTCAAACTCCTGGACTCAAGCAGTCCACCCACCTCAGTCTCCCAGAGTGCTAGGATTACAGGCGTGAGCCACGGCGCCCAGCCAAAGCCCTGATTTCAATTAACAGTTTCCATTTAAGTTCACCTATGACTAAGCGCTTTGCATACGCCAGGATTCATGTGTTTTGGTTTGTTTAGAGACAAGGCCTCGCTCTGTGGTCCAGGCTGGAATCAGCTCACCGTAGCCTCAAACTCCTGGGCTCAGGTGATCCTCCTGCCTCAGCCTCCTGAGTAGCTCAGACGATAGGTGTGAGCCACCATGCCCAGCTAATTTTTCTTTTTTTGAGAGATGGGGTTTTGCTATGTTGCCCAGGCAGGCCTTGAACTCCTGAGCTCAAGCAATCCTCCCTTCTCAGCCTCCCAAAGTGTTGGGATTATAGGCATGAGCCACCACCGCCAGCCTGGATTATTTTTAATGATGCCCACCTTGCCCCTGGCAGGCACTGCGCAAACACTTTACGCGGCGTCTCAGCCCACCCTCCCGACAGCCCTGGGCAGCATCGTCCTCCCCGTCCTCTGACAAGCAGAGCTCAGAGAAGTCGGGCCACTCACCCCTGTCACCCACCTAAGAAGTGGCAGAGCCAGCCAGGAGCCCAAGTCAAACACAGCCACGTGGACAGCCGTCCCTCCACGCCGCACCTCCTCCCCACTGAGGGAGAGGCCGGCCAGTCCCTGCCCACATCAAGTGTCTGAGAACCAGGTCTGCCTCCCCGCAGGGCAGTCCTCTGGCCACTGGCTCCTCAGTGTGGGAGTCTCCTTTTGGGCAGAGAGCAGCCTGGTGCGGCCCAGAGCGCACTGGACGTCCCAGGGAAGCTCCAAAGAAAAACCCTCCATAGATCCGAGCCTGCTCCAGAGACCAGAGGTTCCGGACCGAGGGGACACACACAGTTCGGGTTTGTGTTACTTCCCTGGGACATCCTGATGTGGCCTGTTGGGGAGAAGAAGCCAGGGACACCCTATCCTGTTGGCTCCATGTCCCAAGTCACCCAGACCTGTCCTACACCCTCCCCGCTACACCATCTCTACTGAGGCCTCTGCAGGATCCATCTGGGACATCATGAAAGGCTCCGCTAACCCTCAAAGCCCAGGTACCATGGGGTCCAGATGTGGGCGACATTTTCCTAGAAAATCACGTAAGGAAGACCTCACTGCATCTCCCAGCCCTCCTCAGGGAACCGGAGGGGACCCGTTCCTCCCGCACAGCAACCTCTACAGCCTCTCCTCAAATCCCCCAGCCTCTACCACAGCCTCCCTCTCCCCTCCCTTCCTTCTGTTAAATGAAATCTATAGGAAGCCCTTGGTGGCCGGGCACGGTGGCTCACACCTCTAATCCCAGCACTTTGGGAGGCCAAGGCAGGAGGATCACTTGAGGTCAGGAATTCGAGACCAACCTGGCCAACATGACAAAACCTTGTCTCTACTAAAAACACAAAAATTAGCCAAGCGTGGTGGCACGTGCTTGTAATCTCAGACACTTGGGAGGCTCAGGCAGGAAGAATCGCTAGAACCCAGAGACGCGGAGTTTGCAGTGAGCCGAGATCATGCCGCTGCACTCCAGCCTGGCCAACAGAGCGAGACTTCATCTAAAAAAAAGTTCGATGTCACCAAACTGAAGCTAAGTTGTTTATCTGAACTTCTGAGAAATCAGGGGAGTAATAACAGCTAAATCCCCAAACAGGCCGGTCCTGGTCAGTACATTAAGCAGTTCTCCGCTTTCACTCTTACAAGAAAAGCAGTTTTGAAGGGAGCGATCCGTGTTTTCTGTCTCTGCTTTCCTCGGCCCTTCCGTCTAGAAAACCAACCTCCTCTCTTCAGCCCCCCGGGAGCACTCCCTGCTCTTTGCAGAGCCCAGCGTTGCCCGAATCGAGCATCACGAATGAAGCCAAAGAGGACCTTTAAACTAAATTCGTCATTTTGTCTTGTGACAATTCTCTGGACCGACTTATGCCGGGAGGGAAAGACGGCAAATCAGACACTGTCCCAGTGGACGAGGAGGGAGATGTCCGACCCGCCGTGGGTCATCTCAAGCACCTACTTGGCTGGATGAAGGGACCCCTAGAGACCTCATAAAGCGCTGCTTCTGGGTGTGTCTGCGAGGGGGTCTCCAGAAAAGCCTGCCTGGGGGTCCGGGTCCTGAGGGGAAGACCCTCCATATGGACAGATACCATCAATCACCTGGGGGCCCAGAGAGAACAAAAAGGGGCTGGACGTGGGGGCTCACGCCTGTAATCCCAGCACTTTGGGAGGCTGAGGCAGGTGGATCACTTGAGGTCAGGAGTTGGACACTAGCCTGGCCATGGTGACACTCCATCTCTACTAATACAAAAAAATTAGCCAGGCATGGCGGCATGTACCTGTAGTCCCAGCTACTCCAGAGGGTGAGGCAGGGGACTCGCTTGAACCTGGGAGGTGGATGCTGCCGTGAGCTGAGGTCACGCCACTGCATTGCATCATCTGTAGCCTAGGAGACAGAGCCAGACTCTCTCAAAAAAAAAAAAAAAAAAAAAAAAAAAAGAGGGAAAAGGAGTTCTGATCTTGTTCCTGGCACTGGGACTCTCTCCTCCTCCTCCTGCCCTTGGACATCAGAACTCCAGGGCCCCCAGCTTTGGAACTCCAGGACTTAACACCAGCGGTTCCTTGGATTCTCAGCCTTCAGCCCTGGCCTGAGAGTCACACCTTTAGCTCCCCCGGTTCTTCCGTTTCCTGACTTGGACTGAGCCAGGCTGCCAGCATCCCAGGTCTCCAGCTTGCAGATGGCGTCCCTCCTGGGACTTCTCAGCCGCCCTAACCACATGGGCCAATTCCCCTAACAAACCCACTCTCATCCGTCTATCGATCTCTCTCTCCAATACATTGGTCTGCCTCTCGAGAATCCCTACTGATGCAACGCGTTTCTGTACACTGGCTTCTGCCTGGGATCTCACAGGTGTGCCGGGGAATAAGCATTCCACAACCCATTTGGGAAACTGTGGAGGACGGTGTGAAAGGAAAGGAGAAGCTCAGGACCCCAATTCAGGCTGCCAAAAGGACAAAACGAAGCTGAAGACCGAGCCGGGCAAGGGCCTGCCTCTCCCTGTGTTCCTGGACAGGTAACTACAGACGCGGGATCAGATCGCACTCTCCGTTCCCCTCATCTTGGGGACGCATCATCAGCGATCCCCGCCCCCCGCCCATTCCTTTTCTCTTCCCATCATGGGCTCAGAAACAGGATACCCCACAGCCCACTTTCCCCCTTTTAATACAGAGGCTCAAAACCATCGCTGCAGAAAGACCTCGACCTTGCCGAGACACGCTCCGAAGCCCACCGAGGCCTGTCCCGGGTATTTCTTGGTTTACAACTGAAATGGACCAAAAAGACAGTGGGCATCCTTCTGGATCATCTGATTCTGCAGGGGCCTACGCCTTTCGCCATCTTCGAGACATTTTACGGTCCTGGAGTTGCAGAAAACTTCGAGCAATGCGAGCGATTCTCGACCAGCGTCGCGACCGTCAAGAGCAATCGATCATCGCCAGTGGAGAGTGACCGGATATGAGACCCCTGCCCGACTCCAACATGGCCGCCCAGCCCACGACCGAGGCCTGGGCCGCCGCTGCCAGGAGCCAAGATGGCTGCGTCGCGCGCTGACGTCACGCGCTGACGTCGCGCGCGCCCGGCCCCTTCCTGCAGGGACCCGGAAATGATCTCCCAAGGCGGAAGTAAACGGCACGCTACGGTCGGTTGAAAAGTTGGCGGGCGCGGAAGAAGGCTACGAGCGCGGCCGTCCGGGTGGTCTGGGCGACTGCCCCGAGGGCCCGACACGCCCTGCGGCCAGCCCCGACCGTCTTACCTCAGTTTCCCCACCTGTAAGAGGGGTCAGCGGGCGGGTGCCTTTGCCATCGTCCTTCTCTAAATGCAGGGACGGAAGACGGGCGCTGGCGGGACGGCCACAGGAGCCCAGGCCCGGCGCCTGCACGCGGGGCTCGTGCCCGGGAGTTTGACCAGATCGGGAGGCGGCAGGGGGCGGCGGCGAGGGGCCCTGGCGAGGGCACAGGCGGGACAGGGGGCAGCGCTGGCTGAGGCCCGGCGGCCAGAGGGAGCGGGAGGGAAGGTGCAGGACCTGGGCTGCTGCTTCCTGGGCACATCTAGCTTTCGAGGGTCACACCGCGGGGAAAGGTGACCTTTTGAAAAGGTAATGGGGGCCGCGATCCCTCCAGAGGCTGTAGGGAGGATCCTGCCTGCCTCTTTCAGCTCCGGGGGGCTCTGGGAGCTCCAGGCGTCCTTAAAAGGGTGGTGGCGGCGTGACTCCAAACTTCCCCCCCTCCCCCGAGACGGAGTCTCCCTCTGTCGCCCAGGCTGGAGTGCAGTGGCGCCATCTCAGCTCACTACAACCTCCGCCTCCCGGGTTCAAGCGAATCTCCTGCCTCAGCCTCCCGAGTAACTGGGATTACAGGCGCAGGCCACCACCCTTGGCTAATTTTTGTATTTTTAGTAGAGACGGGTTTCCACCATGTTAGCCAGGTGAGTCTGGAACTCCTGACCTCAGGTGATCCGCCCACTTTGGCGTCCCAAAGTGCTGGGGTTACATATGTGAGCCACCGTGCCCGGCCTCAACTTTTTTTGAGACAGAGTCTTGCTCTGCCGCCCAGGCTGGAGTGCAGTGACTATCTCAGCTCACTGCAGCTTCCACCTCCCAGGCTCAAGCAATCCTTCCACCTCAGCCTCTCCAATAGCTGGGACCGCAGGTGCACACCACCACACCCAGCTAATTTTTGTATTTTTTTGTAGAGATAGGGTCTCACTGTGTTGCCCAGGCTGGTCTTCAACTCCTGAGCTCAAGGGATCCTCCCGCCTTGGCCTCCATAAATGCTGGGATTACAGGTGTAAGCCGCTACTTCCTGCCGCCTACTTTCTGTATTTTGCAAATAAAAGGTTTGCAGGTTACATCAAATATCAAGTGATTGATCTGTGGGGACGCAGGCACCTTCCTCAGAGCCCCCCCTCCCTCCCTTTCTCCCGCCCCAGCCAGCCTTGTGCATCTGCACGCACCTGGGCTGCTCAGGGGCTCTCTGCTGCCCACTGAGTGCGAGAAGTCTGTCGCTGCAGGGACCTGGGTGCTGCCACACGGGTGGAGAATCCATGGTGGCCGGTGGGAGGCCTCCAGCACAGACCCTGCACACCTGGAGGCTTCTGCTAGCAAAGCCCTGGGACCTAAGACCAGATGCCCAGGGCTACGGCCCACTTGGGATGACACACAGGGTCCCCAGATGGGTGCGTCTACCCCACTGACCCCCTTTTTGGGGTGCATGTGTCTGTTCTGGGGCTGCTTTGGGCCCCAGCGATTGGGGGTGGACAGTGTCGCCTAGTGAGAAGTGGCCCATGTGGCAGGAGTGCCCTGTGGGCGCAGGCCAGGCCCTGGAATGGTCTGTGCCTCGCACACTGCGTTGGCAAGCGACTGCGCTGTTCCCGAGCTGTTGAGGAGCTCAGAAATCCAGGCCGGCATCTTTCTGCCCCACGTGGTGGTAGAGATAGCCAGGAAGTGAATGTCGGCCGCCCAGGGCCCCAGGCCTGTTTCCCAAGACAGGGCTTGGCCACCTGTGGTCTGGTCTCCACATGGCAGGATGCGCATTCGAGGCCTGTGACCCATGGGGTGGGAAGTGGGGCATGCAGGAGCCCCACCCGTGTTGGGGTAACCTGGCTGTCTCCAGCAGCCGCCTCTGCATGGGGGCTTCTGGTCAGTTTGGGCCATCCTAGTGTCTCGCTGGGCTCTGCCAAATCCACTTGCCAATCCGATTTGGAAGACGGTCCCGTCTACATGGTTTCCCCAGGCCTGGAAGCAGCAGCGGCACCACCCCCTGCACTGGGGGTCCCAGGATCCCCGATGGGCTGTGGCGTGACCCATCCAGGCTCTTAGAGGCCAACCTGGACTCACAGGACGTCCTGTGGGTCGTGGTACAGGAAGGTCCTTGGGCCCTGACGCACTTACAGTGGTGGCCAGGGAGCCCGGAATGTTTGAATGAAGCCATGGGGACGGACAGAGGCCAAAACACACCATCTTAACTTCTAATTTTCCTTGGACAAAATCACTGGACCTCTGTCATCCCTTTTTTTTTTTTTTTTTTTGAGACAAGGTCTCCCTGTTGTGCGCTGTGGCGTGATCATAGCTCACTACAGCCTCCACCTTCCAGGCTCAAGGGATCCTCCAGCCTCAGCCTCCCAAAGTGCTGGGACGACAGATGTGAGCCACTGCACCCAGTCTAGTCATCCCAAAGCAAGTGTCTGTCGGTGTGGGTGGGGACTCTCCCAAAGCCAGAGGCCCTGTCAGCCTGCTACACGACTCTGGCCACCACCCTGCGGATTACGGGCTCCTAGGAAAGCTGCCCCAGGGACCACGATACTGGAGGTGGCCTGGGGCAGAAGGCGCGACTCTCCCTCCCTCCTCTTCCCCCACAGACCTTGGAAAGGTCTCGCCTCAAGGCCTCCCACCACCCTCAGCTGAGCAAATGTGTGTCTATTTTGGAATATCTGCAACGTCTTTGAGCTGCCGCCCTTGAAAGAGAGTAATTTGGTGTAGCCGGCGGTGGGGGCCTCTGAGTCCAGCAGGCTGTTATTTTGCCCATCGGTTCCCCTTAAACACATTCAAGCTCGGAGTGGGGGCAGCACCCCATCCCCAGGAGCCCAGCTGGCATTGTTTCCGGGGACACACTGACCTCCAGTCCTCAGGCCAGGAGCTAGGGCGTCCGAGGCCGTGGGGATCCACTGCCCAGCCTGCTTCTGTGCTCCCAGGGCCTCCTGCCTCGGGCCATACTTCTGGTTAGCAACGAGATACCTGGGTTTTCAAGAGACGGCGTCTCTTAAGCAGGAATCCTCCGGCAATTGCAAATTGTAACCACGCACCGACCTGCAGCTGTTCTGAGTAAACTGAGCTGCGGCAGGCACGCTACCCCGAGGCCGCAGTGCAAGCGTGGCTACGGCCTGGCCCCTAGCAGGCCCCTGACTACACAATGGAGGTCAGGTGTGGATGACAACCATGCACCCGGGATTCCCTTGACGTTTTCTGTGCTTGTGTTTAAGAGCTTAAATTGTTTTTGAAAATCACTTTAAAACTTTCACAGAGGACATAAGTCATTGCCGTGAGCTTCCTTTGGTTCAGAGGAGCTTCCTTATTTTCCTGGGCCCCACGTTTGCGGTGTTGTTTGCAGGGACTGAGCGAAGTCAGCGTGTCCTCCACACACATTCACCCTTTGCCCCCAGGCTGCCTGGGGCCGGCAGACCACAGGGTCCCGCTGGGACAGCCAGAGCCCTCTGCAGAGCCTAGGGTACAGGCCGGGGGAGGACGGGGCTAGCCCTGGGTCCCCAGCTCAGCACTTTATTCCTCTGTTCCCTGGGGAGTTGACTGGTGTCGGGGGCTGTCTTCCTCACCCACTCGGAGTTGGGGCCACAGGCAGAGGCCAGTCCCGGGAGACCCTGCCGCCGCCGCAGCTTCCCGCTAGGAGGGGGTCAGAGACCCCTGTGCCAGTGTGGGACCAAGCCCTAAGGTCAGTGTGAACGCCCCCAGCCTCACGTGCTTCCCCCGCGGTCTGGGCTGGCTGTAGATGGGGTCTCAGGCCCAGCTGCACAGCCCCATGTCTGGCAGGGCAGGAGCCCCTCGGGCCAGGGACAGCCATTTCTAGGCCAGCGGAAAGAGCCCTGCGTGTCTCACCCAGCGGCCCAATTAGTGGCCTAATTTCAGAACGGAGCCCCTGGCCTCCCGGGAGGCTGCAGTCACTCAGGTGGGGAAATGGCTGCCATTCTTCCCAACAAGAATCGCTGAAGCCAGGTCCAGCTGTGGGGCCGGGGGAGGGAGGTTCTAGACCCCGAGGCTGACTCCAGCTCGAGGGGTCGGGGCCTGGATGTGTTTGGGCGTGTCCAACTTCAGTAGGAAAAATTGGTAGGAAAGTAGAAGTCAGTCTTCGAGACCCCCGTCTTACTGAGGATGGCGTCTCACAGCCCCTCACACGGGAGTGGAGGTTACTGTACCCGCCCAGGTCAGCACAGGACCTGCTTCTGATTCTGGGGGTCCACACGACACGGGCGGGATGACTGGTGCCCCCCACCCCCAGAGACCTGAACCACCACAGAAGTGGGGTGAGAGACAGGACCTACCACATGCCTGGGACATGGGCCTGGAGCAGACCCAAGGCCCTCGGCTCACCCTGGCCCTGCCCCCACTTCCCTCAACCTCCTCCTGCCCTCAACCTTGGGCAGGTAGGCGGGCCAGGTCCACCGTGCAGGTACACACAGCCGCTTCTCCCCTGAGACGCTGAGGACCGGCAGGATGTGCCTGGACCACAGGGCGGTGCTCACTCCAGGACGTGGTCCCACGGCCTGTGTCGGCTGTCCTGGTGGCCCACACCACACTCCAACCCGTGTCCTGATTTGCTGGGGGCACTGGCAGTGCTGGACATAACTCAGGCACCCTCGGTGACCTTTACTGGGTCCAGTGAATTGCCCAAAAGCCAGAACCTGGAGCCTTGGCGACCCCATTAGGAGACCCCCTAGGTCCTTCCAGATGAGCAGATGCAAAGGCCGTTTGGGGTCCTGAGAGCGGCCACAGGAGCCCCAGCTCTCACAACTCAGCTGCAGAGCTCAGGGTGTCCCCACCCTGGCCGTGGCTCCAAGCCACCTGCTGTCCCACTGAATGCAGGGACATGTCCTGGGGTCCCCCCACCTTGCCTGCACCCTGGGGCAGCACACGCCCTTCCCCCAACAGTCATTCCACCCTCTGGCGCCGGGCGGAGTGGTGCCCCCAGCCATAGGGACAGCCCCCAGCAGCCCAGATACTAAGGTGCATCCAGAGTCACAGCACCCAAGGGCACAGGCAGGGCAGGCACCAGGGCCAGGGAGAACTCGTCTAGCCCCCACCGTGCCAAGAGGAGCAGCCATCTGCCCTGAGGAGGAGGCCTGGTGCCCTGGGCTTTAAGCTGCCCCACCCCACCCCCAAATCCGTAATAAAAATAATCCCTTCCTTAATGTGCCCCAGTTCCAGAGGCGCCTCTGATCCCGCCAACCCACATCAGGGCGGGAGGTGCAGGTGGCCCCGATTCACAGTCACAGCAGCGAGGAGGCCTGCTGAGTGGTTTCAGGGACCTGGGCGCCCGCGAGGGACAGGCTCACCTCTCCCCAACCACCCCTGCAGGGCTCTGGGCCACCCCAGGCAGGCCGGGCAGTTCCTTGTGACACAGGGGAAGGCAGGACCTGCTCACAGGCCCCTGGCACTGGCCCAGGCTTCCCCGGGGGTGGCCCAGCCTCTGCAAGGACTGAGTTTGGGGAGCTTGGCCCTGTGCCCCCAGAGGCTGCTGTTGCTGCCTGGGGGCCCCCACCTAGGATGCAACCTGGTGTGTGCGTCACCTGCTGGTACACGGCGCAGCTCCCACAGGAGCCCAAGGGGTGCACCCAAGACACAGAGAAATGTGTCAGAGGAAAAGGGGCCAGTCTCAGCTCCGCAGGCTGACAGATGCGGAACCGCAAAGGGAAGCCCCCTCCCCACAGCCTCGAGGCCACACAATCCCTGCCAAGTGCTGCAGCTGGATGCACCTCTCCCGAGGCAGCATGCCCCACAGCCCCCACAGTGGGCCGGTGTTGGAGACGCCTCAGGCCGCCACTCTCAGCTCCGATCAGACTGAAGAGCACGGCACCCTCCTGCCCTCCGGAGATGGCCGCTGGTCTGGGAAGGGCGGATCAGGCGGAGCAGGGAGCTCCACGGAGACCCGGGGCCCCTAGCAGGAAGAGGCTCACATCCCAGGGTGCCCACATGGCCCACACAGGACGCCTGTCAGGGGGCACAGCTGAGGGTCACCTGATCCCTGCAGGCTGCAGAGGCCCCAGAGGGTAAAGGGTCCTCGTCCCATCCCCACTCCTCCGGACTGGCCCAGGGCACTGGAGGGGGAAGGCCCCTGGTATGAAGCTGAGGAATCCACCCCCTCAAGTGGAAGGAGACCTCTCCACCAGGCCCAAGCTGGTCCCTCAGGGAAACCGGACCAGCCCCACTCTGGCCCCTGGCTGCGTGTCCACCCGCTGGGTGAGCCCTGGGCAGCACAGGCTGTCTCTGGGGTCAGCCCAGCCCTGAGGAGGGGGTGGGGGTGGCGCCAGGGCCCAGGTGGTGGGAGGGGCGGGGCGCAGCCAGGGCTCTGCCTGGCGGACTCCCGGCACATCACTTGGCCCTCGCTGTCACTCGCGGTCGCCTGGCTTTTGTCATCATTGTCCCTCCACTGTCACCTTTCAAGGTAGGTCCGAGGAACAGGCCCCTGGGGCGAGGGAGGGCCTTGAGGCTCCGCGGCTCTGGGCTGGCCCAGGTCAGTCCCCTGGGCTCACCTAACTCCCGGGCCGAGGGCGGCTGCCCCACGGACAGCGAGACCCAACCCGAGCCGGTGCTGCAGGCAGGGAGGCGGCTCACGCGGTGCGGGGGAGCTGTGTCCATCTGAGCGCCGTGCGCCGCCTGCAGTGCCCACCGAGTCCTGCGGCTGGGGGCGTCCACAGGGTGCGTGGGGCAGGTGGCTGGGCTCGGCGGCAGCTGCGCGAAGGTAGGGCTGGGCGGTGAGGACCAGGCTGTGGGCGGGGCACCAACACCCCAGGCCTGGGAGGACCTGCACGCAGCTGGTCCCGCGCCCACACGGCTGAGTGTAGGGTCTCCGAGGAAAGACCCGCACTGGGGATGGAGGCAGGTTGGGTGCTGGAACTCGAGGATCTCCAGGAGGGAATCCTCCCTCTGCACGACCCTGATCATTCCCCCAGAAACTCGCCCCCACTTGTTCCCCGAGCTCCCACCCCGGGTCTGCCGGCTGCTGGGAGCCTGCCCACTTCACCAACCGAGATCCCACCAGCCCCAAGCCCTGGGCCCCTCCCTCGCTGGGGAGCAGCTGCGCGACCAAAGGGATAAGGAGACTGTTGGGCCAGGAGCCCCCTTCACAGCCAGAGGCAGCCTCCCCCAAACTCGCTATGACCTAACAAAAAATATAATATCCATAGCCTATGAGTTGTAGGCGAGCGCGACCTCGGTTTATTTCCACATACTCCATTGATTTGCACCATCTTCAAAGCTAATGACATATAATTAAAAAAGACGTATAAGACTGGC